CAGCTGCGCATAAAGACGGTGGTGATTATTACATTAGTGGGTTTTTGTCCGTCCAGCTAAATTGTCTTAAAAAGCCAGTTTTAAAATCTCCTTTAAAAAAAAAATTGGAACTTATAAAATAATGAGAAAAACATAAGATTATTATCTCTTAAACTGAAGTTTTCAGTAATAAATTCGTATAATATAAGTTTATAAAAGAAAATATACACAAATTCCAATTTTTAATTTAAATAGTCATAAGTTATATAACATTGTTTCTGGATATTGTATAGAGTATACATGTCAATGGGTTGTAATGGAAAATAATGTAAGGGAAACAAAAAAATGTTATAAATCAACAAAATGTGGCAACTGAATAATTCAATTTATTAAATAATGATAAAATAACAGGATTATATATATATATATATATATGTGTGGACAAACAATACAATTACTTTTTCTTTCAAATATATTAATTTTACGGAGGTTCAATTCAGAATAAAAAAGGATAGGGGTAAAAGGTAAAACTTAAAAAAAAAGTAGGTGGAGATGAGGATGAACTTTGCTTTTTGGAACGAATACAGTGGCGGGTGACTTACGTATTATTTGAAATTACCAATTTGCCCCTAACGTGGATCCCATTGACCTTTAATCATTGAGGGTTTTTAAGCTAAGCTAATTATTAATCTATTTTCTTAGCTCTCAACATTTTAAGACTTTAAAATCATTAATAAACTAAACCATCCTGATTACTGATCTGGATTTGTCCCCCCTCGCATTCACAAATTCAAATTATTTTAATCTCCACACTACTGATCTCTTCCACACTCTATAAACTCGGGCTCGATTTCAAATCGATCAAGAGGTTTGATGATTTGTGATAAATTATTTATATGACCCAAAGTAATTAGAATAATAAATATAAATAATGAAGGGATGTTGGAAGGGAAGTGGTTAGATTCAAGTCATTTTCGGGACTGAAGTAAATGGATTGGTGACCATTTCCCGTTTGAGGCCATACATTACATTTCCTCCGTTATTCATTTTTATTTTATATTGTTGTTATTGATTTTTTTTTGCATCATCTCAAAACCGATTTGACGGCCGTTATTCAACTAAATCAATTATTAAAACGATGAGAACCTAAACCATCAATGTCAATAGTTCATAATATTAATTTCTCCCAACGTCCCGTTTTAACCTACAAAACTCTTACATGAAGTTTGGAATAAACTTTTGTTTTGTTGTTAGAAATGTTTTGGATTGGACCAAAGTTCATTCATTTTTTGGTACTTAGGAATCAAAAAGTTAGGAATGAACTTTTTTTAATTTAAATACTTAGGAATAGTTTTACTATTATGTAGTTTGGTGGTAGAATCCATTGTGCGTCCAAAGAGGGCTGTTTTCGAAGTTCGAACTTTGTTTGAGAAAGATCTATATATCTAGCTTCCTCGACCGAAAAACGTATGTCCAAAACATTTCATTTTAAGCATAAAAAAAATTACTTTTGGGCCAATCTTAGTATGATTTTGAAATCCAACATATTATGTGTATGGTTGATGTAATTTGCACAAAAACACACACTGCTAAAATATATTTGGGAAAGGATTCTAACAAATAATTTTTAATTGGAGTCAGAGTGTTATTGACAAGATAAGAGGTAAAACACAAACAAGTAAGAACATAATGGTCGACTAGTAAAACGAGATAGCATAATTACTATAATAGTGATGATAAATCTGTTGCAGCTTTCACGGCCTTCATAGTTTGCAGATTTTACAGTTACCATAATCGTGATATTTTGATCTCTGTCTATAATTGTCACCATTATCCATTTAATAAAAAAAATATCTGTGATTCTGTATTATTGTAAACTATTTGAAGAAACTGTATACTTTCATCTCCTAACGCTTGAAAACTTGTTTTTACTTTACAAGAATGTATATATATATGAATTTACTAACATGGTGGTAGTTTGGGGTTGTAGTAAATTGTCAAATGCAAGCAAATTTGGGGTATAAGACTAATTATCAGCCTACTCAGCATAGCGTTAGGGGGTAAACGATTGGAATTTTCATCGAAATTCACGGCATGATTAGGCAGTAAATGTTAATTAATAGCGTTAGATTGAGATATAAATTTAATGAATTACACGAAAATGTTTTGAAAGGTGATATCAGGGACCATCCTTTTGGTAGCTCCTAAAAGCATTGAATATGATTTTTTTTTCTACGAAATTATATAATAGCCACTCGATTTTCGCATGGCTCGACCCTTAACGTTACAATTTCTATCTTATTGTATAATTATACTTAATAAAGAAAAAGTATATTTTAGCTGTCGTGGGTCTTTTTCGTAGATGCACTTCCGAGTTGAAAACGACCATTATAATAACGGGTCTAAAAAATAGCATTGCGTACCATTATATAATATGCATCTATATATATGTTACTTTACTAAAATAAGTGTTTTACACTATGTTTTTGTGAAAGATGTTTATCAGAGGAAAGTGGTGTTTTTTGGTTTTAGATAAAGTAAAATGTCATAAAATTCAGCAAAAGTGTATAAAAAATATAGTAAAATGTGATTATTAATACACAATGTTTATTCACATAATTTAATTAATATTTGTAAACAACATGCATACAAGCAATGATGCATTAGCGCTTAACTTTTTTTTTATCCATAACGAAAGATATATATTTGTGCTTAGAAAACCCTGTCAAAAATTAAAGATATTTATGATTACTATTTTTCAAATATGGTGGGTTTACAAATTACAACCCTGCTAAGAATAGATTAAATAAAATTATACAAATGACAGTTTAAGAATAAGGTAAAAAACCCTAAAAATTGAACAGAGACAATAGTGTACAAATAAACCATAAAATTTAGTAATTCAATTATTGATGGGCCATGGTAATTTTAAGGTGGAGGGAAAAAAATGCAAGTGGATTGTGCAAGGACCCATCTAAAAGGCGAAATTACTGCACCAATTACACCAACAAAAAAATAGATGTAAAAAAAAGTTTGTAGTTTGATCACTTTTTTTTTTTTTTCTTTTTTTTGTTGTTGTTGTAATACTCTCCTTTTACTTCCATGATTTCAACTTTTTTATTCCCTAAGACTATTGCGAAAATAAAAATAAAAGTTTTGTTTTTGCGAAAATAAATAAATAGTACTCTCTCTGTTCTAGAGTTTTGGTTTGTTTCACAAAGTTTGATTTTGTAGATTTTTGTTTTATTTTTTATTGATTAAAATTAATATATCGTAAACTTCAAAACGTAATGATTCTGTTTTATAATACTGTTGGTTCAAAGTTATTAAAAATATTTAGTATAAAAATTAATTAACAAATAATTAAACAATGATTACTTCTGAATATATGTGAAAACTGTAGAACATCAATCTTTGGCCAAAAAAGAGCAGAAAGTTTTGAGAGTTTTTTTTTTAAAAAAAATTTAGCATACAGTTCTAAAATCAGCTTTAGTTACCATCATTACTCGCACGACTGCTTCTGCACGGAAAATCATACATATATACACACAGATATGAGTGTGCACGGAAAATCACACACAACACAAATATGTGTGTCAGTGAATTACTGTAATTGTTGTGCTCCGAACTGGTTAATCTTCTCTAAAACCATCTAACCCATTTTCCAACGTGGCACTTATGTACAAGAAAAGAACTATGGAATTTTAGTTTCCATACTACAGTTTTCATTGTTTTATTAACTAAACAGTCTAAAGACTCTAAACTAGTTAGTCGAATTCAAATTCAAATTTATGCCAGCTCAATCAGTTTTCAGAATAACCTTAATCTTATTCTTAATTATACTATTTGCCTAGGTTAAAATAAAATCCATAGTGGACATATATAAAGTCCATATATATACATATATCATATTATCATGTGTATATCTCTTAATTTTTTTTCTTTCTTTCACATAGCCTGAGATATATAACGGCGGGTTTTGGATCCATGTGAAGGTGCTTCGCTGTCGTAAATTGTATTCTCCTTTTTATATTAATCCCTTTTTACTTCTTCTATCAATTATGATTATGATGATAAATTGATAACGATACGGTTTAGGTGCGGTTCTTTTCGATTTATACAACCGACAATATTATAAGTTGAAATAGAACCGAAGTTTCTGTGGTTTAACTTGCTTAATAAATAATTACATCCACTAAACTTATACAATGTGAATGAGAATGGATTGTTTGAAGACTGGTGAGGATGATTAACATGTCTACATCAAGCATGAAGCATCTATAAATATTATATGGTCTACCTAAATATCATGGTGCAAAATAAATATAAGAATCTATGTACGTAACAGACAAAAAAACTCATTTTAAAATGGGAGCGTTGGTACTTAAGGATCCACAAATCACCCGGAGAATAAAAATATATTTGTATAATTTAAAAGAATAAAATAAGTAAATAGATTATGCTGCAAGAAGATTAAAAAAATTATACGAGTAAGTAAGGCTAGCAAATAACTTATAGTACAAGAGAGATTTGTCTAAATATTAAACAATAAAAGGTTGATACAAACGGGTCCACATATAGGATTAATTAAGAACTTCAAAAGGGTAATCAAAATCTTGGGATTATTTTTTAAAAAAGTTGGTAGATATCCATAGATTAAAAAAAAAAAACTTTGTTGTTTTCAAGCCTCCCGTTTAAAAACAAGGACGAGATAAAAAAAGTGAGAGTCAAATTCACGATGAGTTTGATTTATGTAAATGTGAATTGGTAATAGAAAAAAAGTTAAGGCGTGGGGGTGTAAAAAAAAGAAGGGAGTGAGAAATGGAAAGAAGAAGAAGTTAAGGGGTAGAAAACGAAATATAGAAAATCACATGGGAAGAGAGGAGGGCATGTGGGATATGAGTTATCTACGCCACTTTCATCTTCCCATGTGAGTTTTTTACCTCTCAGTTTTTCTGTCTCCAGCTCACCTTTTTTTTTCCCTTGTGTACTTTGTTGTTGTTAATAGCCTCTGATTTATCTTTTTTTTTGTCAACTGATTTTATTAATGATAAACTTGGTGAAAACACAGCCTAAACGAGAGAAACTAAAGCACAAACGAGAGAAACTAAAGCCCAAAAGAGGGAAACTAAAGCCGACAGACGCAGTAGAAGTCTTCGGAATCAATAGCCGGAGGAAAACGAGAAATCTCCGGAGTCTAAGCCCTATAGAAGGGAAACAGAAGATAGTAAAACCATAAAACAGAAAAAACTCAAAGCAAAACGAAAGAGGACGAACCCTTAAACTAAAAGCATAAACAACTAGGCTAAAACTTTAAGAAACATACTAGACTCAAGAAGCAAAAAGAACTCTTCTCCTGAAGCACTTGTAGAAGAGACTTACCAAGGACGTCCAAAGCCAATCCAAAAATAACATCCACCACCTCCTATCATAATGAGAGCCGATCTCTCGAAACCAGAACCAAAGCTATCATAGCCTCTGATTTATCTAGCAAAAAAAAAAGAGAGAGAGGTAAATTTAAAGATTTAATCAGGTGATGTGTTGGAGTTGGAACATGAAAGTAATAGCGTCAAGTAAAAGCTTGTTTGTTTTTATTGTACAACTTAAGCAAACAAACACTGTTAAATTGTTGATTTTACAAATCTCCCATTCAAATATATGTGAATGACATTTTCATTGCGTCGTTTGTTAATTAAGAACCTTTTTTGTAATATGGGAAAAAAAAAGAAATGAATAGAAAAGGTAAAACAAATTGTTGAAAGATAGAAAGAGAGGAGAGGCTCTTGTGAACAAGGAAAGGGCAAAAAAGAGGTGAAAGATGGAAGAAAAACAAAGACAAACTTCACATTCTTCTTTTGCTTTTCCGAAATCTCGATCACACATTTCATATTTCACTTTTTTCCTGATTTTGTCATGAAATTTTCCTTTTATTCATGGCCTAATTTTTTTCTTACTAGCCCAAACCACATTTTTTGGGCCAAGCTTTAGTTTTCTTTTTTCTTTTTTTTTTCCCTATAAATAAAAGGCAGCTTGGAAAGATTCTCCAATATAATTACCTAAAAGCTCAAGGCTAAAGAAGAGCCAATTTAGTTATTTAGAGGTTGGAGTGTTGAATAGTTACTCTCAATTCTTGTCACTGTCACTGATACTTACAGGACATAATCAAGCATAGAGAAGAGAACCACTTTCTATATAACCAAGAATATAACATCAGAAATTATGAAAATGTTTTTTTACCTCAAACTTTAAACCTTTGCTAATAATGCCTATTGCAAAGTTAAGCAACCAGTTAGATTACCGATCATTGTTGCAAGTCTTCTTGATTCATTTCTTTGATCCTTATCATTGAAGCCATATATGATCAAGAAAGTCTAATGCTCAAGATTCTTCACAATTTGGCACCTAATTCAATTCGTTTCAGTTCAAGAGTCATCCTTTCATTCTCAAGTTTCATCCTTTCGTTCTCCATTCGCATTTTTTCGAGCTTCTGGTCTCTTTTCTTACTAAACACCTCCCACCTAAATTGTTGTCTCTCCAATTCCATCAACTCCGCTTGAATCTGAAGCCTGCGTCCTTCTAACTCAAGAGACTTAGACTCAATCCGCTGCCTCTGTAAGCCAGTACCTTTCTCACTGTCTAGTGACATTCCTCCACTCACATCAGCTTGGGAACGAGGCAAAAGAGGGACATCATAACCCTTATTCGGATCTTCATGGCTCAGGCTTTGTCTTAACCTCTTCAAGGGACGGTCATCATGGACTCCTCTACAATCCCCATGAGACAAATGGTGTTCCTCACCATCATCCTCATCATCAAGATCTTCATTCTGGTGTTGCCCATGTTCATCATTATCATGATCATCACGGCTTCCGAGTGTAATCAAGTGAAGGGATCTCTGTACTGCAGGGTCATGAGGCAAATGCAATCTGTTTCCGTTATGATAGGAACACATCTCCTCATAGAAAAGATGTTTGGAACTCATGATTTTCCTAACTTCTTCTTTCTCTTTCTCATTCAAGTAATCAATCTTATCCAAGAGTGCAGGGTTCTCAACAACCTCACAAGAAGTTCCCCTACCAAGCATCTCATTAAGCTTCTTATACCTCTTATTAAGATCATTGAACTTATCCTCGCATTGCTGTGGCGAAACACGATAACCTCTTTCATCCATGACTTTAGAAACTGATCTCCACTTGCCTTTCTTCTGCAAAACCGCAAATTTCCTTCCGCAACCAACCTCGGAAGTACTAGAGTCCTCACCGATATACGAAAGAGCAGTTATCATCAGCTTCACCATCTTATCCATCCATTTAACACGTTGCCAAGGAGAGTTGTTCTTGGACTTGTTTTGACCATCACAACTCAAACATAGTTCATCCTCTTCACTCATCGATTTCTTCCCTCTGTCGACATTGTTGTGACGTGCTTCCATAGTAATGTCACAGCCCGAGTCATGTCGAGAATTTGGATGGTTTTGAGTCTGATGCATAGCATTTGGACGAAGATCTCTCATAGAAGAACCAACTTGAGAATCAAAGCGTCCATGAGCATTTTCGCCACGAACAATGCCTCCTTGCGAACAATTTTCTTCCATTTCTCCACTCTCCAAAAGAAAATCTGAATCAGAGTAAAACAAAATTCAGCCTTTCTCCTCAAAATCCAATTTTCCTTAGATTTCTCCAAATCTAGAATGACAGAATATGAAACCTCTCATCTAAACCTAAATCATCCGAGTTAACTAAGCTTGTTAAACAGAGCAATCGCAAGCAAAAACAACGAATTTCCATAAACTATAAAACATCGCTACCAAAAGACGAGATTCAAAGAAGAGGCATAGAAACAAACGACCTTTTAAAACGATTGAAGACTAGAGGAATCTAGGGTTTTAGAGAGCAGAGTACAAGTAGAGAGAGGAAGAACTCTGATCACTGAGTCTGAGACAATGCGTGTGGCGGACAAAACATTTTAGAGGGAGAAGAAGAGGGGTAAATGGCCTTTTTCAACCTCAACTATAGGGTTTTTCCAACCTAAACTATGACCTCCAATCGATTTCAATCCGAACCTAAAAATAATACAAAATCAAAACCTAAACTAATGTAAATGAGCCGATTTCAACACGACGTGAAACAATGTTAGTTCGGAAGTTAACAGTTTTCAAAGTTATTTATTTTATTTTCAAAGTTTGATGAATGTTGTAGAGAGAGAATTACCCAAGGTTGAGTAACCGTTAACTTCCGAACTAACACCGTTCCGCGTCGTGTTGAAATCGGCTCATTTGCATTAGTTCAGGTTTCGATTTTGAATTAATTTTGGATTTGGATTGAAATCGACTAGGAATAATAGTTTGGGTTGGAAAAACTCACCTGCAAATAGTTGAAATTGAAAAAGGCTGTTTTTCGGAGAAGAAGAGAGTCTTGTTTGTTAATAATCTTTATGGACTTTTTAGTGACAAATCACAAAAGTTTATGTCCAATGTATCAGAAGATATTTGGACCCACCATTTCTTTTTATTTTATTTATTTTTAAAACCTTTTTTCTATTATTGATTGATTTAGGTAGTAACTCCAAATATGTAGAGTATGAATTTGAATATGGAAATAAATGAAACTTATATGTTTTTTTTATATTAATAGGATAGGATTGTCAAGGGAAATCTAAGTTTTTTTTAATCTTACTTTTATTTTTACTTCCTTATTGAATCATCAATACAACATTGCATGATTTCATTACTGAATCATGTCAATCACAATCTACTATACATTTTTGCAGCAGTTTTTGGGGTACCCAAATCGGGTCAAATTTATTTAATTTTGACCCGGAAATCTTCAATCGGATCTTTTCTTAAATTTTGACAAAATTAAAAAACGAAAATAATTAATAAAATCTAAAATATATATACTTTCTCAACTAATTACTATATTTAAACGCTTTATTTATGGTATATTCTCCACGATTTTTATAGATAAAGAAATCAAATATGATGATTTAATGCTAATATAACAAATTTGCACTAATTTCCTAAAACCTCTCTACCTAATTTAAACATAAATATATGATTCTTATTTCACTTTTATTTGATCTTATATTTATATTATTTTAAATTATTATAAAATATATAAATAGTTAGTAAATTTTAGTTTTTTTTTTTCTGCATATGTTACAATTCAAATTTTTTAAAACGGACATATATTACTCAATCGATGAATAAAAATATGTGTGTAATCTATATTAACATTTTTAAGAACAAATTGAGCATTTAATCATGTCGTTATTTTATTCAGACCCGAAATTGAGTCATTCAGATCTTTCTTTAATTTTTACAATTATCTAAAATGGGACAGTATATCACGGGTGAAATCCTAATTAGTATTTTAAGATACAATTATAAATTGTTTTTACGGGTTGGTCCAAAAACACACACTAATTTAAAAATATACATGGAAACTATTTGAAAGCAACTTTCAAATTAACTCGAATTATATGACATTTAAATAAAAGTGTTATTAAAAAAATAACAAAATGATGTTTAATTTCATTTTAGATTATATGGTTGGACGGGTTTGGGTCAATATTAATACGAGACAATATACCACATGTGAAATCCTATAAATAACAAATCAAAATACAATTATACAATCTTAAACACTAAACAAAACAAATACAACTTAAAATTTTTTATTTTAGATACAACGCATGTGACCCGCGGTATACAACAAAAAATATTATACACAATAAATTCATCAATTTATAAAAATAAAAAAATCAAATAATTAACCCGCGGTACACCGCGGGTCATATCCTAGTAAGTTATTATATTATCACACATGTGATTATTTTGTGAAACCGTTAAACGTTACAATTCAAAAAAAGAGAGAGCTAAAAAATGTATATATATATATATATATATATATATATTTCTAAATTTTAATATCTTATTAAATTATTAATAAAACTGTCATTTTCCTTCTATATTAGATAAATTTATTTTATCTAAGTTTGGATATATAAAATGATATTAATTTAAATTTGATAAATACAATGTGATTTATTTTTAACATTGGTGCACAATCTTTCAACATTGTAGAATTTTATCACCGAATCATGCCAAAATTATTATTACTCTCATACGTGTGGTTATTTTGGAGAACTGTTAAGCGTTACAATTCACATAAAAGAAAAAGTTAAAAAGCGTCTAAATATTTTATCTTTTTTAAATTTTTTGTTGAATTATGACTAAAACCTGTCCATTTTTTCGTTCTATATTAGATAATTTTTAATCTTAATTTGGATATATAAATTTATATCAATTTAAATTTGATAATACATGTAATTTTTTAAAACTGTTTGTGCACAATCTTTCAATATTGGATATCTAAAGTTATTTACTTTCCAAAATTGAGTATAAAATAAGAAAATAGGAATTTACAAAAAGCATTAACTTCTTTTAAGAGTTTTTTAAAATTATATATATATATATATATATATATATATATATATATATATAATTAAAAGTTTGTATATAGCGTTAAAAGGTGTTTGGTATTACATTTTAAAAGACATACTTTTCTTAAAGACGTTTTAGAAAACAACACGGGATTTTAGCACCGAATCAGCGTTAGTCACAATAGATTATTCTATTTTTACACGTATGCTTATTTTACGGAACTATTAAGCGTTACGATTCAAAAAAGTTATGAAACGCTTGTAAGTAGAAAACAAACGAGTTGAAGTAGAAACGTCAAATGTAATATCTTGATTTAAATTTTTAACTAAAATTTAACATTAGTATTTTTTACTAAAAATATATATACATTCAAGAC